TTGGAACCGCGGGGAGCGTGGCCACCGGCCACCCGCAGGCCCTGGGCCACCCTCGTCCCCAGACCACCCTTGTCCCCAGGCCACCCTCGTCCCCAGGACATCCTTGCCCTGAGCATCCTCTGCTCCAGAGCACCCTCAGCCCAGAGCACCCCCTTCCAATCCCACGAAAAAGCACCCATTGGATACTGGTATTTTGGGGCAAATCCACCGCGTTTTGGGGCTGGCTACCCCCTCACATAGGAGCAGGCAAGTGGCCACCTCCAGGCCTGGTGCTGCCTTTTCCAAGATGGAAACCAACTGCATTTGGGAAGAAACAGGAAAGTTTTTGCTTTCCTTGGCTGGAGGGATGAGCGCTGCGGCCCTGGTGCCTTTCCATGCTTCCCGATGTATCCATGCGAGCTCGGAGGCCGCCCGCGCCAGGACTCATCCGCAGCCTGGGATGAGTCAGGAGCTGCAAGGGAAGTGGAAACCACCACTCGGCCACCTGTGCCGGCTCCATCCCAAGGAATCAAAGCTCTCAACAGCCCTCGGGGTAGGAGTGGGAAGAGCTGGGATGGGGAATCCTTCCCCCGCGCGCCAGAGCTGGAACCACTTTTACTTCTTTTCCACTCTTTTCCATCCCAAAAGGAGGAAGCGGCGCAGGCGCCTCTGTCTCAGCGCCCAAAAAAAGAGGAAAAAAAAATTTAAAAAAAGAGAAAAGGGAGAAGGGAGTATCCAAGTCTTCAGGGGTTTGGAGACTCCTCTCCCAAGCTTACGCAGAGCGTTTTTGGGATGTCCTTCAGCCCCTCGGAGGTTGGCAGATGGTCCCGGCTGCTCCTGGCCTCCGAGCCTGCTCCTCTCCCAGCATCCGGCAGAAAGTGCAGGAGCTGGGGGGAAAAAAATGGGAGAGAGGCCTGATTTTACTCTGTGGCCAAATTCCCGGAAGTCAACCGATAGGAAAGGTCAAGTACTTTCCATGCAAAGTGTTTCTTGGTGGAATGCTCTTTTTTTTGGCAGAAAAAGATTTGCCTTTCAAGGAAAAACAGCCATTTGTGTCTGTTCAGCTGCTCCATGATCCCAGTGACCCCTGACCATTTCAGTCCAGAAGTGGCACTGGGCGATCCGCTCCCATGAGGTTCCGGCCCCGCTTCCCGCTGGCCTCCGTCTCCCATCCCAAACTGGGATCTGTGGCCACCTCGATGCGGGCGGGTGTAGGGACATGCTGGAGATCCCGTGGGATGGGCAGAAAGGCTGTCGTGAAACCCAGTGGGATCCAGGACTCCCAGGAAAGGCCATAGCAGAAGAATTGGGATTTGCTCCCAAGGGTCCCCATGCTCCCATGCCCCCCTGCCGCTTCCACACCTTGGCGCGACAGGGGGACCTGCTGTCCCCAAACGGGGCCTTGTGGCATCCTCTGCCACGTGACGGTGACACCCAGCGAGCCACCTCGCGGGGGCCCTTTCACAATTTCCTCCGTTGCTTCTTGGACAAGTGTCACCAGGGGATGCGCCGGAAGCGGGTGACCTCCCCGGCCATCACGCACCGGGCACCGGACACGGTGGCTTTTGGTGGCCCGTGGCTAAGCCCACGTGGGCTTTGACTCAGAGGAGCAAGTCCCCATCGGGCAGGTCCCCCTGGCCCTTTTGGGGAAGCGCGACGTGACGGTGGCCCCAAACAGCTCATGACCACGTGCTGCCATCGGCAGGGACCAGATGCTCCGGGTTGTCCTTATTCATCGCCTTAATCACCGTCCTGGGAAGGGCTCAAGGGAGCAAATGGCCTTTCCTGGGAATGTGCAGGAGCTGCGGCCCTGCAGCGCGGGCGCCTCTGCCCCCACGTGCGTCAGCCACCGGCACCGCGTCCCCCCGCGCCACCTCAGCCTGTGCCACCCGCCTGGCTTTCCCCTCGGTGGCTTTGCCGGGATCCTTCATGGAGTGTGAGGAGCTGCCCCGGTTTGCGGGATTTGCATCCTGGGAAGCCACCGGAGAGGCCTGTGCCGCAACCTGCTTGGTGCCATGTCCTCCTTGTCCCTAATTGAACCCATGTGTCCTTGGCGCGGCTGGAAACCCCCCGCCGCCGCTGCCAGGCGGTTTCGGAAGGTTTCCACAATTTTTTGCCCAGGGATGAAATTCCTCAGCTGGATCAGCCTGCCGCGGTGGGCAAAGGGACGAGCCGGAGCAGCCAGGAGCCAAGCCGGGACAGCAGGACCGCAGTGATGGGAAAGATCCCGAGCACCAGCCGCTCTCTTGCTCCGTGCCCAAATGGCCCCACGGATGCAGCGGGCTTGGATGCACCGATGCATCCAGGACACCCCAAGTGGTGTCACCCAAGGCTCCATGATGCCCTCATGTGGCAGCCGCGTCCCCGCTCCCAGGGCAGGAGGGGGATCAGGGATTGCTTGGGATAGAGGGGTGACCACGGGGACTGCAGGGATGCGGGAAATGGCCCGGGAGTGTCAGGGAGCTCCCCTGAACCCACCTGGAGCAGCTCCGTGCTTGGGAACAGCGGACCGACTGTCCCCATTCCAGCCAAAGGTGCCAGCGCCCGCAGAGGGTGGCCGGGGTTATTTCCAGGCATCGCCGCAAGGAAGAACATGACCAACGGGGAATGCGCCGGGCGGGGGGAAGAGGTGGCTCTGCAGTTTCCTGGCCCACAAGGGGTTAATGTGGCCCCGTGGAGGAGACACGGTGCCACCGTCCCCCCCACAACATGGCAATTAGGCAGCCGGTGCGGGCGAACCACAGGCCACGGCGCTGACGTGGGGGACATGCGGATCCGGGGACATGCGGATCCAAGAACATGGGGATCCGGAGACATGTGGACCCAGGCAAACACCAGCGGTTGGTGCCACTGGCCAGAGCCCAGAGCCACCATGGGGCTGTCCCCGCCGTCCCCTCTGGGGGCACCTGGCCTGGTAAGATGTCACTGGCGCTTCCAGGAACTGCCTTCCCCATTGCACTGATCTCCCCCCAAAAAATAAGGGCCTGGTGCTGCCAGGGCTGAGCATCACCCCAGCTTTGCAAAGTGCACCCGGTGCCAAACCCTCACCCGGAGCACTGGGAAACGCAGCTGGGGATGGGCAGGTTTCCCCTGTCGACCAGCAGCTGCATTTGGGGGATGAATCCTCCTAGTTCGGCTCATTTGGGTGCTGCTGCTTCCTAGGAGCCTCCAGGTTTTGCTCCCGGTCTGTCTTGGAAACACCCGGATCCTGCCTGCAAACACGGGGCTGTCGGCTCCTGCTTCCTGGGACTGCGGGTTCCAGTCCTGCTGCTGGCGACACCATCTGTGTCTCCCGCCAAATCAACCGCTGCCTTGAAACAGAGTTCGGGGCTGGGGGAGGAAGCAAAAAAACCTCTAACGCCATTTCTGGCTTTTTGCAAGGCTCTTGGTGGCCTCGGGGACTTCTGCAGTGCTGGGGCAGGGACAGCTCGTTCTGGGCAGCCAGGGCCAGGGAAGGTCTCCTGGGCCAGGCTGCAGAAATGTGGGGTGGGGGGAGGCAAAAAAAAAAAAAGTTTTTAATGCCTTTTTCCAAGTTTGGCAGCTGCAGCGATGCCCGGTGGGGCAACTGGAAGGACTGGGAAGAGGTTGGGAAAGACGAGGGGCAAAACCCGGTGCTGTTAAATGCAGCTGTGAAATGGGGTAAACAGGGCGGGCAGCAGTTGGGTGCGAGCGCACCGCACCCTGCGCCGGCTCCGCGAGCGCCCTGGGGGGCGGAAAACGAGGAAAAACGGCCCGAAAAACTGCAAAGACTTCCGAATTCCTGCGGCCTGACGTC